GCCCTAAATGAACCAAGTATTACAAAGTTCTTTTGTCTTTGAATTAGTTTAATTTGCTGCATTTAATCGTGGGTATGGTGAGTGGGGATAGATAAATGAGCATGGGCCTCGTAAGTATTGCATTTAAGTGCATTTAATCATGAATACAACATACAGAATGTATATATACAATGTAATAAAAGAAATGATATTAAAACAATATCAAAAACAAAAAGAACACATTATCCCTCCTATTTAACATAAATATTATGACATCTCTGACTTGCCAAATTTTTAAACCAATTTTATTTTTACAATTGTAGTTTTGTCTTAAGTGTTTATAGACGAACTTTTAGCCAAAATTCTGATATTTATGTAGAAACCACACCTCTGTCTAACCAAAACAACTTACAATGAGAGTAACCAAACCCAAAATGAACTTATTTTGTAGCTAAACGGTCTAAATTGTGCCTTAAGGGCATCTATATTTCTGTAGTAAATTTGACATTTCTGTTTGAAGTTAGTGCAACTGTGCAACATTTAGTTTAAAACCATCTCATTGCTGCCCTCTATGGGTTAAACAGTGGTTACTGCAGTTGAATTTTCCTATTTGTTACAGTGTTACATGCTTACTTGACAGCTTGTTCATGCAGAGTTTTGCCCTTGCAGCGAGTCAGGAGCTGGAAAAGGGAACAGTTTGTAACTGCTTTGAACATTAGCCCATGTTTGCACTGATGCAGCTAATATCACTTTCACAAACTGGACCCACTCTGTCGTGCATTGCCACCAGCTTCATGCATCGCTGATTAGTGAACCAGTTGGCCGGACTTCAGCCAGCTGAATGGTTCTGCCTTATCTTGTTTTAATGCAATATATTGGTTTATACTGTAAATGCTATATTTAGTTTTAATTTCTATTTTTGTGAAGGTAATTGCAACTGCCAATATGATTTGTGTTTTTAATGGAGCTCATATAAACTTTGTAGAATTGTTTTATTGTGTTCTGCTGCTGTTTCATCAGATAGATTCTTAGATTAAAGATGTAGAAACGTACGCTTCCTGTGTGGAAATGTCATTGAGGCGAGTCTGCCACAGAGCAGAGCACCTGATCAATGAAAGAACCATCAATCTTTCAGCTCTGGCAGGTTTCTTTAGGCTGAGCACATTTGTTTTCTAAGTGAGAATCTTGGCAAAGTCTGTGGAGAGATTTTCAATTTGTTAGTCTCCTGCTTCGATATGCAAATAGATGTTTCTGTTGCTCTGATGAGGCCAGGGTCTTTCCTTCCAAAACATGTCAACAGCTCCTGCTTGGATTTCTTTTAATTTTGGCTCTTGTACCCAGAAAAATGAACCCCAGTGATTTTTTTTCTTCCAGCCTCATCAGGTGAAAGTCATCTGTGATCTGAGTGACAACAGTTGTGTGGATTGTGTTAAATTTAGTGGAAATTTTAACTTCCCCTTTAGGAATAAACCATAAAACATGTTTGAACTTTTTATTTCTCAATCAGCTCAATCTGATTAAACTTAAACTTAAACATGGTAACATTGTGTTAAACGTGGTCAACATGTTGCGGTAAGGCACTAAAGAAAGGCATTGATGAAAAATTTAGCTGAAATATGTTGTTTTCGAAATTAAACAAACAGATGCGATAAGATTAGTTTTAATACAAACTAACACAGACAGACACACAAATTTTCACTTAATCCAGTGTTTTCTATGCCAGAATTAGCA